TCCTCTCCCTCTACTCTGCCCTTGTGAGGCCACATCTGGAATATGGTGTCCAGTTCTGGGCTCCCCATGTCCATAAAGACAGGGAACTACTGGAAAGAGTCCAGCAGAGGGCTACAAAGATGATTAGGGGACTTGAGCATCTCTCTCCAGACTCTATTCTGTGGTGCCCAGTGACAGGACAAGGGGCAATGGGCACAAACTGGAATACAGCAAGTTCCATCTCAATATGAGGAAAAACTTTACTATGAGGGTGACCGAGCACTGGAAGAGGCTGCTCAGAGAGGTTGTGGAGTCTCCTTCTCTGGAGATATTCAAAACCTGCCTGGACATCATCCTGTGCAACCTGCCCTAGGTGATCCTGCTTTAGCAGGGGGATTGGACTAGATGATCTCCAGAGGTCCCTTCCAACCCCCACCACTCTGTGATTCTGTGATTTACACCCAGGTCAATCCAGCAGGAAACAGGATGTCTTATTCTTTGTTTTCCTGAGCTCCTAACCTGCCTCTGGGACCCACCTAGACTAAGCCTCAAAATAAGACTCTGTTCCCATCCACTGTTTCCCTTCCAGTGCTTGTCTCCTACTCCCTCTTCCAAGCGTACTGGGCTTTGCACCTACACTGTGCAGCTGTTCTTCCTCCAAGCAGGACCTGGGGCACTCTGATAAATCCACCTGTAAGTAGGAGCTGCTCAAGCCAAGAGGTGTCTTTATCACAGACGCGCGGAGGAGAGGGAAGACAGTGACCAGTCCAGATCCAGGTGCAGGTATGTCACACAGGGCTTGTCCCAGCCCGTTCTTCTCCTTGAGCCTAATAGCATCCTCAGATTCCTGCAAACGGAAAGTCCTCAGGGGGAACAGAAGATTAAGCTGATATCTTATGGCTATAATGTAGGTATTGTGCTTGGTCTGCTACTGCAGGCTAAGGACTGGACATTGGAAGAGAAACTGTGTACTCTTACATCTTCCGTTTTCTTTGCTTTACATCTTGATAATTGTACAAAGATGTGTCTATTCACACATGATAAAGTGCAAATCTGGATTTTAAATATTTGAATGCGTCATGGGTTAGAAAAAAGAAGTTTGGTGTTTAGATTAAGAACATTTCAAGGGATATTTTCCTGGCCATAACTGCAGGCAAAATGACAGACCTGGGCATCCAGTTTTTAAAATGTGTGCTATTTTAGATACTTAGATAGCCCTGCTTCCTCAAACATCTTTAAAGTATTCCTCAGATCCTTGAAATATTTGCACTTGCACTTGTGGTAGAGCATTGCAGTTGGTTTGGCAGGGAGAGAAGAGAGCTATTATGAAATGACAACTGCATTCACCTGGGATTTCATTGCTGCAAGTCCTAGTAGTGTTCTTGGGTCTGTGAGTGGCCTCCGTACCCCATGGAGTTGCTCCCTCGCAGAGCTGGGGCATGCTGGTTTCCACATTACACTATTGACTAAGGTAAATGGATTTTTAAAGAACTGTTTCTCTGTGGGGCTCAGGTGCTTGTCTTCATTTAGGATTCATAATCATGAACTCTCTTCTGGAACGAGGTGCTTTAAGCCGTTCATGTAAAATAGAGATAAAGACTCTTTTCTTATAAAACAGAGCCAGCGCAGAGTGCAAAGGCAGACTTTCATGTATGTATTCATTTTCAAGGACTTAGAGTACTTGCCTAATGTGAGAGAGGTCTCAGATGGATTACTTCTTATTTACAGAGGTTTCAAACATACCTCTTCTTTCCTTGGCCACCAAAAGGAAGCTATACCTGAACAGAGATTTGAACCTGCATCTATGATTTTCAGGTTACTTCTCTGACCACTGGACTATCAAAATTCAAGAAAAAAAGGTACTCAGTTGGACCAGAGATCAGTTTAGCCCACTATCTTACTTTAAAGCATATGTAAACCTTCCCCTCTTCTATTCTTCAGTTTCTAAATATTTTATGCTCACGAACTTCATGGGCCTAATATGATCTTTATGTATTTAGCAGTCCTTACTGGATTTCTCTTCCATAAGCCTGTCTAGTCTCCTTTTGAACCTGTGTAGACTTTTAGCTGACATCATCAGCTTCTTTTAGACCTCATCAGCTTTCAAGAATTTGCTCTGTTCCACTACTTACTGCATGAAAAATATCACCTATTTTTGTTTATTTTGAAGCTGGGCTCCTGCTAGATTAATCTGTTGCTCCCCTATATCTTGTACTGAGAGAGGCAGCAAACAATTGATTTCTACTCACCGTCTCCTTGCACTCATAATTATATAGATCTCTATCATTTCTTCACTCATTTGTCTTTTCCAGACTAAGTAGAGCTGGATTACTTGGTCATTCTTTACAAGGAAGCCATTCCATGCCTCACCATACTTCCCCTTTAATATCCTTTTCTAAAATATGTGTTTTAGGAGTGCTGTTTTCAGTAATGCAGATGATTAAAGGATATTATATCTGCTAATCCTGCTCTGGCATAGATTTATTTCAAAACCAAATTAAAAGCGTATTTCCTTGCCTACAGAAAACATATTTTAGGCATCGCTGCATAAGGGGCAGTGTTAGAAGATTACGTATAAGGAGAAGAGTATTATATCTGTGTAATCTATTACAATGACAACTCACCTGACCTCTGTTACTCAAGTAAAAGTAGAGTATTCAGGGAATATTCAGTGGTTCATAAGTTTTATGAATATCTGACAGGATATTGCCCTAAAATATTTATTGGTAACAGTGCTATGAATCAGACAGCAAACTCTGTCCTCAAAATTTAACTCTGTCGCTCAGCTGCTGTGTGATGAAAGCATATAAGCACCACAGCAGATGAATAGATTTATGAATTTTTAGGACTGATGAATTTGAAGACTGACAACTTCAACTAAATTAATATATTACCGTTGTCCTCTGTGCATTTCATTGCTGTAGGGGAAATGTGTAGTTCCTTTTAAATTAATGGCAAGATCCCTGTTGCTCTCAATGAAACTAGCTAACCTAGCAAGGCCATCCTGAAACAAGGCTTGCCCTTTATCTGAATGGCTAGCAGGTCAATGCTAAAGCCCTAGTTTTCATTGAGGAACTCCCATTTACTCTCCCATTGGGTTCTGACCACTTGTGCCCTAAAGTTCTGCTTTAAGAACTGAAATGCAAGAATACTTTGTTTCTCACTATGGCAGTTGTGTTCTAGTACAACTGGTTAAAAGATTCCCATTTTCAAAACTTTAAGAAACAAAAAAAAAAAAAGAGAAAAGAAATTCATCACCTTTTATGACTCTAATTTTTAGTTAAGACATGTTAAAAAATACCTCAAATGTTTTCCTTTGCAAGAAAAAGAAAGGAAGGGTGAGAATGGCAGCAGAAACACATTTCCAGATCAACTTATGAGACAACAAACAAAAAAAGTGCACCTTTCTGAAGTGACGCGGATTCTTTCATCATTGGAGGAATTGAATCTGTCGTCCTTTTCTCTAAAATATTCTTCTATGCACTGCTCTTCAAAATCATGGACTTTTTTCAATTCATCCTCAGTTATGAAAAGTTCTGTGGAAACAATGGAAAAATGTGAATTTGGAAAAGATTAACATGTGAAATTAACTACATTCTTCTTATGGTGGAATTCATGGAATAAACTTTCAAAAGCAGGCTTCAAATGTATCTGGCATTTTGGGATGAAAGCAGATAAATGCAGCTAATTACCAAATTAGTGGCTTCAATTATATATGTTTCTGGAGACAGAAACACTTAAGCAGGCAAATGCTGAGCAAACATGAATATGTTTTGATTGCATGAGATCTAAACACAGCTGCTGGTCATGTCCTGGAGAGATGGTGAGAGCCAAAGCCTACCTGTAACCTAGTACAAATGTAATCAAATTAGTAAATCACTAGGAAAGGAGTCTGAGAATACACAGGATCTATTTGACATGGCAAGAGCTGCTATCTGCAGGCAGCAGCAAGGGCTGTGGCAGACAGTGTGGTGTGAGTGGGAGGAGAGCAGTCTGGTTGCACTTGCATCTCCAGTGCCACCACATGGCACCAGCTCCCTCCTCATAGAGAAATGGGCTGTGGCATGGGGTAGTGTTGGGAAGAGATGCACATCCCTTAGCTCCCTGCCTCTGGCATATACATTGCGGGAGGTGGAGATCTTCTACTTTGAAGAACTAGATAGAGAAGAGGAGAGAAAGTGTTATCAAAATAATCTGACAGGTTTTCAATCATGCTTATGGGAGTTCGTATTAAAGCGTCTGGAGAAACTACTCCTCCAGTTTGAGTCAGTGTCAAGGAAGGAAAATGTGTCTACAAAATAATTACTTCTCACCATCTCTCAGCTTATCTAGGCAAAAAGTGTGTTGGGGGAAAGCATGTGCTGTTTGCTCAAAAAGTAGGAATGCTGTCTCTGCATTTTCAGAAATAAAACAGATCTGGAAGTGCAATGGACTGTAGGAAGAATTCCGGCAATTACAGACCTCTAGCAAACCCCTTTGCTTTGAAGGAACAAAAGGAGGACCAACCCCCAAAATCCCAGAAAAACATAGCCTCATTAACGCTCTTCGGAGAGCTAAGGGTTGGACAATGAAAGTAAAACTAACTGATTCAGGTAAGTTTTTTGCAGTTAAAAATAGTTCTCTGCTGGAAAGGTTATCAAGGTGCCGGATTTAGCCTTCCGTCATGAAAAACACTAGATATTACCAAGGGCATTCGAAAGTCCCACTCTTTACATTGTCTAAGGCTTACTTAATCCATAGTCTCTCTCATCTGGGTCGCTTTCATGCTTCCGCCATCTGCAGCAGAGGTGCTGGAATATCATAGTCATGTGGCTGAAAATGATCAGCGGCGGAGGGAGAACAGGTCTTTCGTGAAATGTCATGATTAGCTGATATCTTTGAAACTTCCATACTTGGTTGGATATAGATTTGACTTCAAAAAACGTATTGCTAGAAGGCAAGAAGAGGAAAATAACATCAGATTGAAATGGTTTTGGGTACTTTTCCAAAGATGACATAACAGCACCTTAACTAGACACATTTCACTAATAGTGGCAAATGTTTCCATGTCGCAAAAAGAGGAAGAATAACAACAGAAATTATTAAGTTTGTGTTTCAGCAAAGCACAATGGCAATTAGCCATTTCAAAGTATCTTGCTACTGTGTACGTCTGCTGTGTTCAACCACTGAGTCTTACATCAACCCAATGAGACAGGAAAGTATTTTTATTCTTGTTTTCCATATCAGGAGTGAATGATGCCATTACTGAACTTTACATTTTTTGGCTTCTGTGCCCTGATTCCCATCAGGTGTCTGTCCTTGGAAATGAGACAATGTGAAGAACTTGGCATTTCCCTCATTCCCTGGAGACAAGCTACTGCTTTCTCTCACCCTCACATCCTCTGAAAATGGCTGTTAGCCAAAGTCTTCAGCTTAGGAGCCGCCTCAGGCTGTGAATAATGCCCGTCGCCCCCAAGTCCATACTTTGCAATGTGTCACTCACTTGAAAACAGCAATAAGGAGGTTCACCAAAAGTATGTTTGCAACCAAGAGGTAACAGGCCATGATGGCAGGAACGATCCATGCTCCTGTCTTGCAGGGAGGTAGCTGGATTATTTTGCCGTCTTCTCTGGTTTCATTTTGACCACAAGGAGCTGGGAACAAAAATGCAAAAAAAAAAAAAAAAAGCAAAATAGGAATGAATCTTATTTTTTCAGTGCTTTTTAGAGAAATATTTAAATATTTATAAAGGCCTGCCTGCCAAAGCAATATCTTCCAAATAACAGTGGCATTGATGCTCCCCCCCAAGAAGTTTGCACTTGCTATCACAGGTTTTACAAGCTGTAGTTCTTGTTATTGTGTGTTGTTTCCCATGAATATCAAGATATTTCCCTCAGAAATTGCAGGAGACATGTCTGGTGTGAGTAAGCTGCCTGGTTGCATACAGCTAAAATATCATTGTACTCTGGTAGTAATTAGTGGCTGTCCAAATAAAATGATCAAAATGTTTAATCCCAGCAAAAAGCTTACATATTATTTTTTTAATGGTGAGAGCTTGATCTTTTTGTTTGATGGAGAGGGATGTGATAAATAGCATAAGGAAAAAGAAGTACATGAAAGTAAATTAATGAGAAGACATTTATTGCTGTGCACTGCACCGCCTCAAGCCCCACTGGGACTTACTCATAATGACCCTCTTCTATTAATGACTTTTGACAGCATGCCTAGAAACAGTGGGTGAGATTATAAAGTCTTTACTGTACCAGGTAAACGGACATGTAGGCAGCAGAGCTGCCACCTGTTCCATCCCTGAATGCTTTGAAACGAAAATATTCTCAGTATTAATGTTGTAGAACTGAAGCAAGAGGAGAGAAAACATTGTGAAATAGTTTTCCTTGCTTGCTTTTTTCACATGGTTTCATGTGCTGTGGTGAGTGACCTGCATTTGCAAGTGTGGATTCAGTTTATGTCTTTCTAGCCTCAGTCCTAGTGTTCCTAAGTACCTCTGTAAGCAGTTCTTCAAGAAAATTATTGAAAAAGCAGCTTACATATACAAAGCATCTTAGTAAATTTTGCACAGCACTACAGCTAGCTTTCCCTCATCCCTATCAAAAAGAAGTTTAAATGAGGAATTTTCAAAGTGCTCAGCACTGGCTTATTTTCTGCTGATATCAATGTGAGTTTCCCACTGATTTCACAGACAATAAAGTTTGCCAATGCCATATGTTTTGTAAAATTCCACTCTATGTCAACAAATCCATGATTTCCAATACCAACTATTGCTTCTTCTCAAAAAGGTCTTCCTGAACTTGGTTCACAGAGCATGGGATTCAACTGTGGGTGTCGGTACTGGCAATCATATGATATTATGTGTGATTTAGGTATGTGGTTTTGGGCGCTACATATAGCTGTTTGGCTATTACATATAGAAATATTATAGCTGTATGCGACAGAAGAATACATGATACATCAGCTTCAAACAGGAACTCTCTCAAAATATTCAACTCATGGAAAAAAAAAATGGCAAAGCCAAATACAAGCAATACTACTACTACAAGCAGCTCTTTTGTGTCTGGACCCATCGTGCCACTAGTCCTTCCTACTTACAAAAATACACTTTATTACTGGAACTGGCTGAGAGTATGCAATTCTTTATTTCTCAGAAAGCATCACCTTGCAGATCATTTTAAGTTAGTGCTGATTTCATGCTTCCTGCACTGCTCCAAGCACTGGTTTCATTTAGACATTCAAAACGCCATCTGTGAGCTGCTGTGAGTGTGGGGCTATATGTGCTCAGACTTCACCCAGCAGAAACTGGGACATATAGTACCTCTTGGTATCAGCATTCAATGTGAGACTTACATTTCTGTCTGTGTGGAAATAACTTGCTAACATGTTGATTCAGATCTACAAAGTCCAACACAACACATTACCAAAACCCATCATAATTTCACCAGTAATGGAACAATCACTGTATCAGTTGAGGAAAACTGTTTTGTGTGTTGAAGGACAGAAGAAATAATGTCTTTTGTAGCAATGAGAGAAATTGGTGAAAAGCATTTTTTAAACCTTAGATCAATGAGATAAAAAACTCAGGTGAAAGTCTGGTTACAATTCTATTATGCCATTTTTTTTTAAACTAAAAAAAGAGAATTTAATCTAAAAAAAAAAATCATCTTTGACAACTACAAAAAAGATTTCTTCAGCTTTATTTGCCTACAACAGAGTATTTAGAATACTGTTAATGCATTCCTATCGGTTTATGCCACACAGTGATGGCCAAATTAGACTTCCTACAAAGACAAGTTCCCAAAGTCTATTCTATACATGCATAAAATCATAGAATTGTTTTGGTTGGAAAAGACCTTTAAGACCATCAAGTCCAGCCATCCAGCCATTAACCCAGCACTGCCTAGTCCACCACTAAACCATGTCCCTAAGCACCACATCTACATGTCTTTTAAATACCACCAGGGATGGTGACTCAACCTGTTCCAATGCTTGATAACCCTTTCGGTGAATAAATTTTTCCTAATATCCAACCTAAACTGCCCCCTGGCACAACTTGAGGCCATTTCCTCTTGTCCTATCACTTGTTGCTTGGGAGAAGAGACCAACACCCACCTGGCTACAACCTCCTTTCAGGTAGTTGTAGAGAGCGAGAAGGTCTCCCCTCAGCCTCCTCTTCTCCAGGCTAAACAACCCCAGTTCCCCCAGCCACTCCTCATAAGACTTGTGCTCTAGACCCTTCACCAGCTTCGTTGCCCTTCTCTGGACATGCTGCAGCACCTCAATGTCCTTTCTGCAGTGAGGGGCGCAAAACAACACAGGACTCAAGGTGCAGCCTCAGCAGTGCTGAGTACAGGGGGACGATCACTCCTCTTGTCCTGCGGCCACACTATTCCTGATACAAGCCAGGATGCTGTTGGCCTTCTTGGCCACCTGGGCACACTGCCGGCTCATGTTCAGCTGGCTGTCAGCCAGCACCCCCAGGTCCTTTTCCACCAGGCAGCTTTCTAGCCACTCTTCTCCAAGCCTGTAGCATTGCATGGGTGTGTTGTGACCCAAGTGCAGAACCTGGCACTTGGCCTTGTTGAACCTCATACAATTGGCCTCAGCCCATTGATCCAGCCTGTCCAGACCCATCTGCAGAGCCTTTCTGCCCTCAAGCAGATCAACACTCCCACTCATCTTGGTGTCATCTGCAAATTTACTGAGGGTGCACTCGATCTGCTCATCTAGATCATTGATAAAGATATTAAAAGGAACTGGCCACAGTACTGAGCCCTGGGGAATATCACCTGTGAACATCCACCAACTGAATGTAACTCCATTCACCACAACTCTTTGGGCCCGGCCATCCAGCCAGTTTTTTACCTAGCGAAGAATATGCCCATCCAAGCCATGAGTTGCCAGTTTCTCCAGTAGAGTGTTCAGCTTGTCCTGAAGATTTGCAAAAGTTTCTCTCTTTTACTCATTCTGCTGTGGGAACAGTTTTTTAAATAACAAGGGAATATTAATCTCATGCCTTACTTTATGGAAAACTAAGCCACCACTTAATCTTCACATCTTCAGTAGCATGAGAAAATGTATGATATGTGTCCAAAATGCAGAACTCTATGTTCCACTGCACATCACTGAACTTCTTACATCTTTAAACGACAACATTAATTTCAAAAGATTTTTCCCCACTGTTACATAAACTGTTTGTTTAAAATAATTACTCCCAGGAAACCAGAAACAGAAATTTCTCTCTCTGTGAAAAAAGGACAGAGGACTCTGGCAGGAGGCTAAAAGTAGCAATGATATTATTTTTAGATAATGAAGATACTTGTTTACATTTAAGAAATTAAAATTCTGTTTGTAGGGTTTGAGAAGACTTTGTTACGGTAACCCAGGACAGTTTGCCTCCCCCATCCAAGTATCTAAAGTCCCAAGTGCTCATCTCCTTGTTATGGTAAGCTGGGGTAGTTCGCTTCCCCCCATCTGCACAGACCCCTGCATGGGTGCCAATGATGTGAAGGACAGCTGCGGAACTCAGAATTTGGGTAACAGCACCGGCATTACATCAACGAGTTTGCTAATGAGCAAAACAGGGTATTGCATATGCACGGTATGTTAACCAGCGCAAGTTTTACTATCCACCCCTGCGGTGCCTTCCCTTGAGCTTCACTCCTGAGCGGGGCTCCACTGCACGGGGGACCCATTTGATGAGTGTTGGTGTCCTGGGGCTCCCACCATGGTAATGCTACACTTTCCACAAAGCCAAAACTTTCACTTGCTGAGTGCTGTGCCTCATCCCTGAGGGATCCGCACCTGCCTTTCTTGTGTAACATGGTTTGACCATTTTAATTATGTTGGGAGAAATGCAGTGATTTTTTGTAATATGTGCAGTAATATAGTGTGATAAGAAACTTTTTCAAAGCATGATTTTAATATGTTATGCTGGTTTTGGCTGGGATAAAGTTAATTTTCTTTCTACAAGGTGGTATAGTGCTGTGTTTTGGATTTAGTATGAGAATAACATTGATAACACATTGATGTTTAGTTGTTGCTAGGTAGTTGTATTGCTTACACTAAGTCAAAGACTTTTCAGCTTCCCACACCCTGCCAGGTGCACAAGAAGGTGGGAGAGCACAGCCAGGACAGCTGAGCCAGGCTGGCCAAGAGGACATTCCTTACCATAGAACATCATGCTCTGGGTATAAGTGGGGAAGCTAGCCAGGAGGCAAATTCGCTGTTCAGGAAAAACAGGCTGGGCATCAGGGTTTTTTTCCCCGCGAGTGGTGAGCAATTGCATTTGTGCACCATTTGTTTTTGTTTAATCATTTGTATAATAATTATCTTCCTTTGTTATGCTATTAATCATTATCTCAACACATGATTTTTTTTTCCATTCTCCTCCCCATCGCACTCTGCGGGGAGGGGACTGAGTGAGTGCCTGCATGGTGCTTTGTTGCCAGCTGAGGTTAAACCACAACATATGTATGAAAACATACTCATCTTTTAACATTAAAGCCTTGCTTTAACAAAAAATACATAGAATACTTAATTCTATTGAAATTTTTTGCTGAAGCAAATTCTGTTAGTATAACTATATGCCTATTTCAGGTAACTGAAAAACCCAATCAGTCTGATGCCTACAGACCAATGG